TTCAGAAAATCAGCTCCTCAGGCGTTAATACTGTACTGTATTGCGTTTTGTCGGAAATCGAAAGAAAGACAGTTTTTGTATAAATACTGAAGAAGATTACATACGCTTGTGCATCTGACGGCGTTCTTATTATATATTGTAGTATATACGGCATCCGCGACCCTACGTCCATAAAACACCAGTTATTATAACTGCGCAAGGCACAGCTGTTCCGAGATTTATAATTTCGCGACAGTTCCCAGAATATTTATAAATTTGAAAATAATACGCGGAAGAGCTAAGGACGTAGTAAAACTTTTCCTGAGCTAATTTGGCGGCTGTTTAACCGCGTGTGCGGGACGGGTATGAAGCAGAGTTTGAACGACAAGGGACAAACTTTTGCATTCAATATATGTGGTCATATGCCGAAGAAAAAAAAAAAGTCGAACGTCTCATTTTCTTTACCGTCTCCCCGTCTTTGTGAGAGGAAGCACGGGGACAAATTGAAAGACTCTCTCACAGAGAGGCAGCACTTCCATAAATAAATGAAATATTATATTTGAATCCGGCACTGTTAAAATAACACAGCATGATTGGCTGAATGTATGTATACTGTATATGGCTGTCTGGAAAGCAAAATAAACCAGGAGAATCATAAAAAATCTTATGATACTGTAGTTGAAAAAATAAGTGCAGGGACAGGAAGAACATCGACGTTTTTCAAAAGCTGTATGAATTTCTGAGCTTCTCCTATCTCAATTACAAGTACAGTATATAAATATAACTTTGGCAAAAAAAAATTGAATGGGCATACTCGCATCAAGACTGACTCGAAAGATGCTGATGGCCAAATTAATTTTGTTAAAATAACTCTTTTAGACTCTTTTTTCAAAAATCTGTGCGTTCAGTCAACTTCATGAGAGTCAAATAAGGTGATGATGAACTATGCTATTGAAGTACGTTTCATGCAATTGAAATTCAAAAATGAAGAGCTACCGAATGGAAGTTTGCAAAATGAACCGCGTATATGCTAGTCATTATATATTTCAACCTCGGATTTTTCGACATCAAGGAATTATTGGCGATGAAAATTGCTTCATAATCGTCAGTTCGGGTTTTTAAGATGTCAAAATTTTCGCGCATTTTTACATGAATTATGTCGCTGATTTTGCATTATCCTTCAGTATCAGAAGCATGATGAGAGTTGAAGCCTTCCGAACCTTTCCCCCTTTACCCAGATTTTGTGTTTGTGCAACCAGTACCCATGCAAAATTTTTAAAGAAACCGCAGTCTTTGCTGGATTTGCACACCACCATGCATGCAATCTGCTGTTCAGCTCATATGAAGCATATGATGCATGCAATATTTCACGAGTTGTTCGCAGTTTCTAAAAATCATTTTCACAATTTGTTTAGCAACAATGATTCATGCACCAGCAGTTTTATTGCATTTTGCTCATAATTTAAGTTTTTTTGTACACGTTAATGGTTAATCAAAAACCAAGCTGTACCCTCAGCAAGATCTTTCATCGTAACCGCCTGATATAGGGTCCATAACGGTGGTACCACTGATGGTTGTCAAACCATACGTTAAAAAAACCCCCGTTTGACGACATTATATTTTGTGCAGCGTGATGAAACGCATCGCTTAACCGCGATGTTGGAACGCATGCTCACGAAGAATCTCCAAAAAAGTAGATGATCCCTTTTGTTTTTCCAAATGAGGACTTGAAATAAATGCTATTATTTAGCGACGAACTCGGAGAAACCAAAAAATGGACATACAGTACTTTTTTCATTTTCCACAGCGTTATTTCATCGTTGTGAATGCCAAAAAAATCTAGCATGTTTTCGGCAGGCAAATTTCAAAATTCAGCGCTACGGCGCGACGCAGAGCAATACTGTATCCCCACCGCGGTTTATATACTGGATATACAGTATATGGGAGCCTTCACCTATACTGTATTCCCTGATGAGGCAACCTTCAGGGATTTGTCAGTCCCTTTGTAACCCTCTCGCACCTTCTTCCTCCAGGAAGTGGCATCAGAGGTGAAGGAAGGAAGAAAGCGAGAGAGAGAGAGATAGGCACTAAACGAAACCCGTGATAAATCGTCCGCAGCCCGGGGTGGCGCTAACTTGAACTGATGAAGCTTCGACAATCCATAACGGTGGTACCACTGATGGTTGTCAAACCATACGTTAAAAAAACCCCCGTTTGACGACATTATATTTTGTGCAGCGTGATGAAACGCATCGCTTAACCGCGATGTTGGAACGCATGCTCACAAAGAATCTCCAAAAAAGTAGATGATCCCTTTCGTTTTTCCACATGAGGACTTGAAATAAATGCTATTATTTAGCGACGAACTCGGAAAAACCAAAAAAAATGGACATATATTTTTCTTTTCCACAGCGTTATTTCATCGTTGTGAATACCAAAGAAAACATCAAGCACGTTTTCAGCAGGCAAATTTCAAAATTCAGCACTACGGCGCGACGCAGAGCAATACTGTATCCCCACCGCGGTTTATATACTGGATATATGGGAGCCTTCGCCTTCGGCTATACTGTACTGTATTCCCTGATGAGGCAACCTTCAGGGATTTGTCAGTCCTTTTGTAACCCTCTCGCACCTTCTTCCTTCAGGAAGTGGCATCAGAGGTGAAGGAAGGAAGAAAGCGAGAGAGAGAGAGAGATAGGCACTAAACGAAACCCGTGATAAATCGTCCGCAGCCCGGGGTGGCGCTAACTTGAACTGATGAAGCTTCGACAACAGGAAGTGGCATCAGAGGTGAAGGAAGGAAGAAAGCGAGAGAGAGAGAGATAGGCACTAAACGAAACCCGTGATAAATCGTCCGCAGCCCGGGGTGGCGCTAACTTGAACTGATGAAGCTTCGACAGCCCGTCTTTCTGCGGCTGCCGTCCCCGAGGAATCCACTGCTACCCTTCCTACTTATTTTGTTTTTTTACGGAGAAGAAGATGTGTACAGTATAATGTTTTTATATTTACAAATATATAATATATTTTTTCTCTCGCCGAAAGAGTTTTTCGCTCTCGCGGAAAAGTGGTTAACTTAATCGCTCTACCGCGAAAAAGTTCGTCTCGCGGCGGCGGCAGCATTAGGGGCAATAAGCAACAGTCCGGAGACGACGATCCATCATTCTGGTCCTTCATCGCCGCCCTGAACATCCTTATACAATATATACATTTACAGGGTGGGCCAAAAAATGTGAGCCAATTTTTCTTAAACTTTAAATAGCTCGGTATAGCAAATTGAGCTGTGGCAATGAAAAAAGCACAAAATGAAAGCTTGTTCAATTCTCTTTCAAATGGTACGTAGTTTTATGATCTCAAGTGCCATAGAATGGTCACTAGAACCATTTGAATGAAAAGTTTACCCAAAAGAATTTGTCAGGAAATTTTTTTCAGTAAGCTGCCGTTCTGCAGAGCTTTTTGCATGAATAAAGGAAATTTCAGGATGCAATAAGTTTAACCAGGAAACTTCATGTTGTGTTGGAGAGCCTGCGCATTTTCCCAAAATTCAGAAGGAGGTGGTGAGAAGGGGGAGGGATTGGCAAGGCAAGGTAGGATGCTGCAAAGCTTGCATTGCGCTGTCCTCACAGTTCCCATCAGTGACCCACTGCATGCACATTTTTTCCTGGATGACTAGGTTGATCAAAATTAGTTCACTCAAAAGCAGATCAATTTAAAAACATTTTCACTTAAAATCAGTTTCTGCAATCCAGTCATATCCAGAAAAAAAGGAGTGCATGCAGTGGGTCACTGGGAGCCACATGAGGGCAGTGCCCAGCAGCATGCATGCCAGACGAGCCCCACAGCATGACAGCATCCTATCTTGCCAATTTCCTTCCCCCTTCTCACCACTTCATTCTGAATTTTCGGAACATGTGCAGGCTCTTCCAGACAGCATGAAGTTTTCTGGTTAACTTATTGCATCCTGCATTTCCTTTATTCATGCGCAAAAAGCTCTCCAGAACAACAGCTTACAGTGGAAAAAATTCCTTACAACTTTTTTGGGGGAATTTTTTCATTTGAATGGTTCTTGTAGGCATTCTGCGGCACTTGGGACCATAAAACTACATACCATTTGAAAGAGAATTGAACAAGCATTCATTTGGTGCTTCGTTCATTGCCACAACTCAATTTGATACTGAGCTATTTCAAGTAAAAAATCAGTTCACTTTTTTTTTGGCCCATCCTGTTTATCCACTGCGCCAACGGTGCAGGGAAGGGCAGAACCTTGGGGAATAATTGTCTTTACTTTGGGAGTTTGGGTGGATACTTCACTTTTTTCAAGACCGCTTTCTTCCTTATATTGTAATGTATATATTTTCGGAGATGGCTTTGTCTCATGATGGTTCATTCGTGCTGCATCACCTGCTGCCTTTCTCAGATTTTCTCCCGGTTTAATTCTGTTTACATAAGAACTTGATTCGTGAAAAAAAGAGGGAATTGCGCGCTATCGTGTTCCTCTCCTATAGATACATGCAATTTCTGATGAGAAAAAATGACCTACGCAGAAAAGTGATCAAATCCTGTTACACGGTCGTTGAGGAAAATTCGAATTTAATAAGGAAGGCGAAAAAAAAAGTGGCTTATAGAATTAGAGAGATAAATTTCGAAAACGATTTTATGCATACACCTGAAATATCACGTTGATTTCGAGTACAGTATATCCGTTCGTTCTGGAACAGCAATGTCTAAATAATACACAAGTATTTAAATTATATGGATAATGCATACAATTTTGTTTTACCCAGTGAACGTCTCAATAATGCAGTACTTTCCGATGAGTCGACAGTTGAATGCAGGCACAATTTGTAAGACAAGCCTTTTTTTTTTAGATTTCCTGGAGTTTGTTTCGGCAAGGGACACTTCGTGACCATTGTTCACAAAAATGCCACAATAGCTCATCCAAATTTAGTTTCAAGACTCGCACTTTCCACCCACGGAACTCATCATTTATCCCGGTCGCTCTTTTTTGTTTTTCTTCTTTGCAGGAGTGGTCGTTGGCGTGTTCCTGGTGTGCTGGGTGCCATTCTTCTGCGCAAACATCGCCGAGGCGTTCTGCAAATGCGTGCCCAAAACGACTTTCCAGGCGCTCACTTGGCTCGGCTACTGCAACTCCTCCCTCAACCCGGTCATCTACTCCATCTTCAACACAGAGTTCCGCTACGCCTTCCACAAGATCATCGCGCACAAGTGTCCCTGGTTGTTGTGTCGGTGTTGCGGGGCGTGTTGCCCCGACCGGAGCGGGAAACGGATCAACGGGAACGATGGGTCGCCGGCGCCGCTTCGGCGACTCCCGCGGCGCTACGGCGGCTCTCAGGCGGAGATCGCGAGCAGTCGGTACAGCCTCAACGTCGAGGTGAACGGGTTGTCGCTCGTGACGCGGAACAACGACGGCATGGCCGCCGTGGGGACGCCGAACGGCAATAACAGCAA